ATGAGATAAAGATGATGATAAGAAACAAGTATTGAGAGACTCAGAGATATATGGACATATAGAGATAACAACATTTTGAGAGAGTGATAGAGAGGGTGAGAGATGTAGAGAGGGAGAAAGTGGGCAGTGAGATAGAGCAAAATTCAAATATACGTAAAGATAGGTACACACATACTGTTCTCCTATTTTTTGAATTGTTTATTCATTTGAGAGCATTCACCAGAAATATTTATATATTATGTCTCTCCGAAATTCATTTCCCTCTTTATAACTTTCTCTCTCTCTATATATATATCTATCTATCTATAGATGTATAATATATATCCTTATTTCTGTTTTTTTGAAATATATATATAGAGAGAGAGAGTATATTGTTTTTAATTTTTATTGGAAGACAATAGTGCTTTGAGATATATATATAGAGAGAGAGAGAGAATGCTTGAGAGAGAATGAGTATATGAAGGAATATATAGTATATTATTCTCATTTGAGCATTATAATATCCAAATAAGATCAATAAGCATTATCAATTATTATTGTTTTTGTTCCCACCTAATGTCTTTTTTCCTAACAACTAAAAAGCTTTTTGAACAGATAATGTCCTTCTCATATATATCTTTCTACCCTTTCTCTCTCTCTCTCTCTCTCTCTATTCTCCATACAGAGAGAGAGAGAGATAGAGAGAGAGAGGATAATCATATTTTCCTTTTTTTTTTATAATGGAATTATAAAACATGTTGATTTTGAAACATTTTCTCATAAGATTAATCATCATTTTGTGGTTACCGTTCCCGCCTACGTACACAACATGTCATGCTTTGCCGATGGGGATGAATATTGAAAACAAAATAAAAATGTTTTTTATCATCTCTATTCATCCTTCTCCCTCTCTCTCTCTTACTACTAGAAGCATATATATATCTATGCATACCCCTTGTCTCTCTCTCTCTCTCTCTCTCTCTATCTCCCTCTGTAGACACATTCTTCTATACTTCTTCTTTACCTCCACACCCCCCCCCCACTCATTTTATTTTACAAATGTGTTTGGTGTCCAATTTGGATGAAAATCTTTTTTCCACTTCCTTTTTCAAACTATTGTCTTTTCTCATTAGCTTCCAAAGTTCTTTACTCAAAGTTGCAGTTCAGATTTTTTTCAATTGTAAGATTATTTAATTTGTGTATGAGCCATTTCGTCACCTAGAAGATATACTCATTGTGTATCATGTTCGTCTTGATCCTCTTCTTGTTCATCTCTCTTGCTTTGCCCCTCTTACTCATTTGCTATTTTTATCCTCAAACGAACTTTCCATTATTTTGTTTCACAAATGTATTAAATTGAACCTCGCAAAGTGCTGAAGCTGTCGCCAATTCATTTCTTGAGACACCCACCCTCCATTCCTTCAACACATGAAAGCAGAGCGAAAGGATAATGAGAGTGAAGAGAAACAAAAAATAATTCTCAAACTTTCTTTGAGCATTTTCGCTCAGAGTGTAATGATTTAATTCATTACTCCTTTTGAAGGCTTGCAATTTCACATGTCCACACACTTCTACCTCTTTTCTCACTTTCTCTTTGCGTTTTCATTATCCGTGTTACTGATCATAAAAGCTTTCTCTTATTCCTCTCTTTCTCTCTCTTTGTTTCCATTCATAGAAGAAGCATTCATCTCTGAATGTCTCTCACACTTCTTCATCTAATCATCATATCTCTTATACATTCTCTCTTTGTTTCTTTCTCATTCTCCCTCTCTCTCTCTATAACTCTCTCTCTTTCTCTCTCTCTCTCTCTCTTTCATTCTCTTCATATCTATTATTTATTGTTGGAAGAGGTGAAAAAAGAAAATTATACTTTTGCAAAAAGTTTTCAAATACTTTTAATCATCATCATTCAACATAACAATTTAATGTTTTTTTTTTGTTCGCAGAAGACGAAGACGATGAACAAGAACAAGAGAGATAGAGAGAGAGAGTTAGAGAGAATGCAAGATTCAATCAAAGATTCATTCCAAAATCTTTTTTCTTCAAAAACCTTTTGAAATTTTTTTTTTGAAGAAAAGAATGAAAAATAAAACATTCATTTTCAGTTTTTTTTCTTTTGATTAACATCATTTCGATAATCTCTACTAACGTCACACCGTCACATAAGTATTAGCCTATCTATCTATATATATATATAAATATATAAATATATATATATGTGTATAGTTAGATATAGATAAAGAGATAGAGAGAGATAGAGGGAGAGAGATGTTCATATATAATCTTATCCAATACAGAAGATTATTGTGAAAACTACTTGAAGCGACCTTTTTCATGGTACTCAATAATCGTCCGTTCCTTTTCTCATTCTTCAACTCTATTGATTTATTTCTATATCACATTTATAACAATATGACTTCATTCACCTGTTTCCCCAGTACACTCTTTTCCCTTTTCACATTCCATCTCATCTCATCTTTCTTTTCTTTTTTTTTTGTCTTTTTTGAAACTCTAATATCTCTTATAGTCATAAAGTGTTTTCGTAAAGCTTTCATATCACATATCACTTGGTTTCTTTTCCATTCTTCATTTTCCATCATATGCTTCTTCTTTTTCTTTTTTTTTATGAAACTTCATTTATTCTACTCTTTATTATTGAGCTGATGAGCTTCCTGTTCATACCCCCCACTCCCTTCTTTCCACTTTCTACTTCTCATCAGTCCATTGAATGTTATTTTCTTTTTGTTCCTCAAACAATTCCAATCTCTCTTATTATATAAAGGAAGAACATCTTCCATCTACCTTCAATATGAATAGATAGAAACCATACATAATCTCAGCTTGTAGTATAGATAGTCTTAGACGAACAGCATTTTTTGATTAAAAAAAACAATGAATTAGATAGAGGATATTGGTTTCTCACCTTTTTGAAATGTTGCATTCTAATTCATTTCACTTGAAAGAATCTATTTAGAACGATTTAGCTCCAGCTATTTTCGTTCCTTCCTTTTCATTTTTCCTTTCTTTTTTGTTATATATTTCTTTTTCATTCTCTCATTCTCACTCTCTATCTCATTGCCCCTGTCTTATGTGTGTTACATTCATTTGGAACACTTCTCGTTTCTTAGTGCGTTTCAAGTTCCGATAATTTATTTTGCAATTCATCTTTTGTTCATTAACACTGATGATACAAGGCTATAGGGGATGAGAAAAAAGCATCCATTTTGAGACATTCATTTAAATTCTGCTACAGCATTTCATCTCTCTCTCTCTCTCTCCCTCCCTCTTTCCCTCTATTACATCTCAATACATTTATTTCTTTTAAATTTCAATTTAAAATGGTCTTTGCCTCTGAACAAACACTTTTAAGACATTAAGACCTCATGAATTATCTCCCACCATCGCTATGTTACAGTTTTGGTTTTCCTTGCAACATACATTGTATAAGATGAACATACATATATACATGTCTATATATGCATATGCTTCAGACAACATTCAATCAATTGATAGAAATGATGTCAAAATTACATTTTAAACATGACCATCTGACATATCGTTTGAATATACTTTATCATTGATGATCACTGAACGTTTATCAGTATAAGCTAATGTGCTAAACTTAAACAGCAAAAGTTGAAAGAGAGAATTGAAAAAAAAAGGAATGCACAATAGGAAAAGAAGAAGAATGAATGAATGAATGAAGAAGATTTGATTCTTCTCTTCCTTCTCTCCTATTTTCTATTCAGTTTTTGACAATATTTCAAAGATTTCAGCTATTACACAGCTCTTTTTTTTTTCCTTTTTTTTTTCTTGTGTTCTCTATCTTTTTTTTTCTTTTTTAACATTTGCTGTACATGTACTGTGGACAGGCAAAACTGCGAACAAACATCACTATTACAACGAATCAATGCGATTTGGTTTGTATCTCCTCCCCAATTCAGCAGAAAAAAATGGCTTTATGGCATCAAAATGTCAATATTAATTGATATTCATGATAAAGCGTTTTGTGAGTATTAAACGAATCATGATGTGTTGAACAAAGAGCTAGTAGGCGAATTTTCTTTCGATTCAAGCAGTCAAACCAGTTTTTATGTGTATCGACACAAGGACAAGAAGAGAGGCTTTTTTTTTTTCTTTTCTCGAAAAGAAAAAAACTTGAGAAACATTTTTCATTTTTATATATTTTAAAGAAGAAGAAGCAAAAAAAAATAGAAAACATTTTCACATTCTCACATAAATTATATAGTTGATAAGTGAAAGATAACTATGCTAACATTCATATACAAGTCAATACAGTGTGTATGTGTATGTGGATGATGAGCATCTACTGTTCTTCACCATCACCTCCTCCACCCCAATGTATAGATCGACACACATATACACATAGAGAGAGATGAACATGATGTTATATGAAAAATGACAGAAAAAAAAGAGAAAAAGAAAGACGAAAAAAATTATTTTTTTTAGTCTCCGTGCAGTTGCGCGTCAGTCCATCTTGACTGCACGATATATAACAAAAACCGCGCAATCTTCAAAATAGGACTGATTTTGTGTAGTTGTTAAGCAATCAATGATAACTTGTTGTTAGTGTTTGTCTCTCTCTTTTCCTCTCTCTTTACCTCATTCCTTGTTAACCCTCCCTTACTCCTCTTCATTCCTCTTGTCCTCCCTTTATTCATTCTCTCTCTCTCTCTCTCTCCCTCTCTATCTATCTATCTATCTCATTCACAAATTCTTAATTTATCCATTATTACTCTGAGTTTATTTGTATGTTCTTTATTTTATATTTTTCGCTTTGTGTTTCCTCTTTCTCTTCGTATTTTTTGGGTGCTCGCATATTCTTCTTCTCTTTCTGTCTTCATGTCTTGCTTTGTTTTTCAGTCGAAACAAACTGAGTTGGGTGGTGTGCATTGGCTGATATTGATCAGAATTTTCATTTTTCTTATATTTGGTGAAAAGCTGTACCATACGAAGAAAAGTTTTATAACTGTCTACACTTAACATATTATCATCTCCTAATGGAGATTGAAAATATTGTCGCCAATACCGTCTATATAAAGGCGCGGGAAAGTAAGTTAAACTATATACATATACTTAACTATATACATATAATGAATATGTTGTGAATGTAAATTATTTGTTTCTTATCATGTAGAGAATGCTAGACACTCGAATGTCATGATAATGCGTACAATGCTTAATGAATAAGCAATGTTTATAACTGTTATGAATGAACACTGTTACATAGTTTGAGTTATCAATCAATGTTGATGTGTATTCCACATATGGAATTTCATTTTTCAATCATGAAATAGATAGGATGATGTGTCAAGCATTGATTACACTTTTCTCTATTCATTATTCCTCATTTTAGGTGGTGGACAGAAGAAAGGGAAGAGCAAAAAATGGAAAACTTTTCTTCAATTTCCGCATTATTCTGATTGTCTAGCACTCAAAGGAGCTATAGATATAACGTGAGTTTATGAGAGAAGAAAGTTTTTGATTTCTATTAATCGAGTGTAACGAAATGGAAGTTCATTGAATGTAGTGCAATGACACATCGAGAGAGGGTGGTAGAGGGAGGTTTCCCTTTCACGTTTTGTTCTTTTCCTATGCACTTTCACTTGATTTAACAGAAATGTAACATCAAGCTATGATTAATAGTCCATACGCAAGTAGTGTAAGTTGAAAAGTCATTTCGGCAACAACTTGAAAGAATTCAAAGTTGTAGGCGAAGGAAGTAGTTGTTCACGCGTTAATGATGATGTTTTCGTGAAGGAATGAGAGAGCGATGATACAGTATGTAAGAATTTTGGACTTGTCTCTTGTCTAGATAGGTTATAGCATAAGGACTGTTGATTGATCTTCAAAAAATGTAAATATTGTGTTTCATTAATAGTAATAACCAAATGTGTTGATTGCTTAATGTAAATATACAATATTGAGTTATTCTGCTTTTTGAAATGAATATTTGACGTAAAGATGGATGATAGAGCTTGATGTTGAAGCATACCATAGATAGTTGAAGCATCAACAGTTTGTATATGAGCAATAACAATGGAAAAACATCATATATTATGAT